TAACTCATTAACAGTCACAGGCCTGTCTCACTGTCGTCTTGATGTTGCCAGAGTCTGGTTTATACCAATGGCAATTCACTGTGGAGGACCACAAGGAAGGAAGCTGTGTGGGTTTAGTCACCGTCACCTTGGTATAACCTGAATCCAAGGACAGGCCTAATGACCCCCTTCCTCCCTCCAGCTTCTGGGAATCTTTGCATCAGGGCTTTGTGGTTAGGTCCCTGACTAGTCTTGAATGCTGGGACTAAGGACTAATTCAGCTGCAGAAATAGTGTTAACCTTCCTAACCACACGTTTTTATTTTTCCTTTTTCTCAAATACTGGTTGCTGTTTACAGTCAGGGAGCTGAAGCTGGCGTTTGGAAGTTATATGTCCAATCTTAGAGAAGATTTAAATTTCAAAATTAACTTACATGTTTGGTTCTCTTTATCATCCTGTTTCAAATAGAGAACGATATCTTGGGGTAGCTGCAGTGTTCTAGATGTAGACCATGAGAGCTGTGGAGGCCTTGACTCAAAAGTGAAGAAAGGGAAAGGGAAGAAATTTGTTCTCTGTGAGCCCAAACAGATGTCAAATTCTATCAAAGGCCAAAAGCTTGGCCGACCCATACCTTCGGGGTAGCATAGCTCAGGCCCCTTTCCTAGACTATCCTCTGGCTAGAAGGGCCAAGGAGACAAGCCTATCAGTGAACCAGGATATAGGACCTGTTGCCTAGCAATGGACAGACAGGGTGGAAGCTAGGAAGAAAAATGATCATTTAGTTCCAAGGTATGGTGGGGAGAGCCTGTGTTGAGAACTTAAAAGTTCATTCCACCCCCTGTTGGCTGCATGAGCTTTGGCAAGTTATATAACCCTAGGCAGCGTCCATTCCCTTATCTGTAAACAGGTGGAAACATGCAGAGCTGTTCTGATGATTATGTGAAACTGTGAAGTCCATGTCCCAATGCCTGGCACATCAGTGCTCAGTACCTGGTATCTTCGTTCCTTCCCCTTCCCCAGCTTCTCACAGACAAGGCAACCTCCAATTCAGTGAGGCTGTCACTCTTGTGGTACCAGAAGGCCTGGGACCCAGCACTGTGACTCTCTGGGGGTAGCCTCAGCCATTTACCTCCATATACCTCTCTGCTAAAACAACAGAGTTAGACTAGCTCTGCCATGCTTGCTTCCTGCTCTAGAAGTCTGCACTTACTTCCTTCATATACACATGACATTGAGCAACAGAACAGTTCACAACCTGAAATAACAGGCTTTTGTCAGTTTTCCCTGAGGTAGAGAAACATAGGCAACTGGCAGGAGGTGTGTAGGGTGCTGCTGCAAGGCAATTTTTGCGATTCAAGCTATGTCTCTATTCACTCTCACAGATATAATCTCTCACATTCTCTAGCCGGGTGTGGTAGCTCACACCTGTAGTTCCAGCTACTTGGAAGGCTGAGGCGGAAGGATCGCCAGAGCCCAGCAGGTCGAGGCTGCGGTGGCTGGGAGTGTGCCACTGCACTCCAGTCTGGGTGACGGAGTGAGACTCCAACTCAAAAAAAAAAAAAAAAAAAGTCTCTCCTCTAACTTCACCTCATGTCAAGGTTCCTGCTTCTTGCTAGTAGCTTTTGGAAGTAGAGGAAGAGGAAGAAGGGAAGGGTCTTCTATTCCACCTCACTTTTTTGCTTCCTCACAAATTCTGAACAAAGGAAGTGACATGATGTGGGGAAGGGAGAGGTGTTTTGCCCCTGGAGACCAGCTGTGCTATCCCTGCCTTGGCCTGCACAGCTTGAGCTGACTGACTGACTGAGTCCCGAGGCATACCTTACAGGGCTGGCCCTCCCTGGTTCCTGACCCTTTGCTTCTCAGGTTCACTGATAGACTTGTCTCCTTGGCCCTTCCTGCCAGAGGACAGCCTGGGAAAGGGGTCTGAGCTGTGCTACCCCAGGGGTATGGGCTGGCCAAGCTCTTGGCCTTTGATAGAATTTGACATCTGTTTGGGCTCACAGAGAACAAATTTCTTGCCTTTCCCTTTCTTCACTTCTTTTGAGTCAAGGCCTCCACAGTTCTCATGGTCAGTGCTGTTTATCTCCCAGTAGCAGGTCCACTCCTGGAATCTTTAGTTACCTTTACTGATTGGGTGCTTAATAAGTAACTGCCTATTTGAGTTCCTGGTTCCATTTGGTTTCCAGGATACTTTGTGAAGATTGAAATTTGATCCAGGAGAGCATCAGGGTATCGTCTGCATGGGGTGGGGGCGGGGGTCTTATTCTGCCTTGGAATCCATTGAGCAAGTGGTCCGCTTGGTGACTCTTGGTGGATGGAGCCCAAGCCTTAACATATGTGAGATGGGACTTGCAGCTCCCTTTGAAGCCCAGCCGCAGCCCGGGAACAATAATTGCTGGCTTTGATTGCACAGACTTCACTGATGGGTTGGTCTGTGCTGGAGCTCGCCTGGCCTGGCCCAGCTTCAGCCACAGCCCCCCAGTGAAGCCTTAGATGTGGGAAGCCTCCAGTCTGTGGAGCCTCATTCCTGTGGTTTCTTGAAAAGAATCTGGATTGGACCTGTTTTGTATCTGGAAGGCAATACTTCAGGCCCCCATTTGGAGGTAAGAGTTGGTCTGCCTTGATGTCCTTGCGTTTTAAAAGAGCAACCAGGGACAAACTTCCTTATTTGATAGCAAGGGGATTCTTTGTGATTTTTTTAAAAACACCAGTTACACTGTTAGGAAAGCATCCTGGGGGAGGGGGTAGTAAGTTACTTTTTGTAAGCAACTGTAGAGAGGATCTCTGAAGCCAACTTTTCAGCAGAATTTGCGAGGTGACACTATGGAATAGTGACATGATGAGTGGGCAAATGAATGCGAGGCTGTGGAAAGAAACGACTTTGTCAGGAAAGGTCACTTTCTCAGCAAGTGACATTACCCTTGAGGTAAATGCTATCCCTGGGCAGCCATGTTTGTTTTAATAATGATGTTATCACTTGTGTTCCAGCCTAAGAAAGGAGAGGAGGAGGTGCTTCTAGGTGAGGCAAGAAAGAGAAAGGAAGACAGTAGTAGAGCCAGAAGTGCAGGGAGGGGTCTGGAGGGGTCAGCCCTGTTGAGAGTCAGCCCTGTTGCCTGGAGGGGTCAGCCCTGTTGAGAGTGGGGGCCAAGCAGGGTCATGGATGTTGTCTGTACTCTCTACTTCAGTGTCCACCTGTGCTGGGGGTGGGGCCCAGTCCCAACAGAGACAGGTCATCTCTCCCAGCAAGCAGACATTCGTGGCTGCCTTTGGCAAGTCGATTCTGAATCACAGTGCTTGCCTCAGGCTGCTAGCCCAGAACTTCAAGGCCATGCCTCATCAGGAAGCTAAATATTTTCATGTGACTGAGAGGAAAACCTTCCCAGGAAGAGCAACCTGGATCAGATCTTTGAAAACCTGTGATGCAAAAATAGGAATCAGCGGAGCACCTTACCACCCATCCAAATTCACCTGAGCCCAGCTCCTTTCTTCTTGGAAGGACAGGCTCCTTCTCACACTTTGATCCTCCTGTGTTAAGGACAGTGCTGCTGTTAAAGTATTACGACACTGAGAGTGTGTTTTCCTGTTAAACATAGAAAGGGTAATTTTGCAGAATAGGAATTGTAATTGTCTCTGAAGACCTCCTTCATGGAAAACATTCTGTGGCTGATTTCCTTTCATTTTGTTTTTGTTTGTTGGTTGGTTTTCATTTTTTCAGTGGCTTCCCAGCTTTCCGAAATGTTTCTTCACAGTTCAGACCAGTCATTTTTTCAGACAGCATCGTAGTCATTATAGTCATAGCACCAGCTGGCATACTCACAGGGCTCGCTCTGTGCTGTGCCCTTTGTAAGCATCTTAACATCTAAGCCATGCTCTCACCATGGCCTCACAATCCCCATTCTGAACTGCACGGTCCTTGTGGGGAAAGCGTGTTGTAGACTGTAACTTGCCATCCAGTGTTTTGTTTTCATCATTAAACTATGTCAAAGCTTCCTTTCATTTCTCTTCTACTTTGTCTTCCACTCAAATAAAAGTGTAAGGAATCCACTGTTTCTTAGAATTAATTTTTAAAAGGAAACGTCTGCTTGTAACAAGGATACCTCAGTCACAAGCACAGAGTTGGGATTCATCTGCGGCTACCAAGGGACCCAGGTAGAGAAGGTGCTTCTGGCATCCCTGCCAGAAAGGAAAGCAGCCTCCAAGTTCAAAGCTGCAGAGGTGGCAGGTCCTCTCTGGAGTGAAGGAGCGGAACCTTGCTGTGCTTTTACTTCCCTTTTGTCTCATCTTGCTACGGTGTTCCCTTTTATTTTTAATCACTATTTTAAAATCTCAGATCATTAAGGCTTTTGGGATTTGGGTTTCTCCTTTTTGAAAGTCATTACCATCACCCACAGCTAACAACAGTTACCTCAACATACTTGCTGAGTGTCCTTTTCGAGGCTAACATTAGCGATCCTCGTTGTTAGGAAGGAAGAAAATCTTGAGGTTGTAAAGTCTGAAGTAAGAATGGAGAGGCTGACGTCTGTGGGACAGTGAATGTAAGTGTGGACAGAGCACAGGTCATGGGAGCTGGCGGTGCACTGGAGAACTGGAATCTGTCTCAGTCCCATGGAGAGTCACACAATGACATCCCACATCAAACACTTTATACATATGTGTCCCTGATCTGGCTGTTGCCCACCTTTCCAATTCATGTTTGGCCGTTTCCTGCTGGTGTTTTTCAAACTTCTTGTTGTTGTTTGTTTATCATGACCCAAAGCATTAAATACATCTCGTATTATAACTCTGTACATACACATACGTGGAACCAAAGTAAACATTCAGTACCCTGTAGTTAACTCTATAATGTCTTTCAAGTATTTGGGGCTACCCAGGACAATTTATTTTAGCTATCCCCAAATCAACAAAGTGGATGAAATAAATGCAGAGGTCTTAGGACATGTGCTGTGCGAAGTAGAGGTTGCAGTCTTTTAAAGGCCTATGGCAAATTCATATTAATAGCATTTCATTTTTTCCTTCTTGAGGTGGAAAACGAAGCTCATTCCCAACGTGCAAAGCCAAGGCAGCGACCCCAGGACCTCTTCTGGAGATGGAAGCTTGTTGAAAATCCAGACTGTCTCCACTGCCTGCCTAGTCGACCCCAAAGGAACACTGATACCAACTTGACCCTGAGGTCATTGCTAGAGATGCTGATCCATAAAGACAATCACTGCCAGCCTCCTTCCGTCTACCGCCAGAGCCAAGTTCCCAAACAAAGCATCAAAAGGGTTTCTAAAAGGAAATTGAAAAGCACGGGAGAACGAGAGCAGGCCCTGATCAGCTGAGCAGCTTTTCTCTTCCATCTCCGTGTGTACTTCCCAGAGCATCTTGCCTCCATACCTGTAACCTCTCGGCAAGGACAGTCACTTGGTTGTGTCTGCCTGCCACGCGCAAATGGAGCCAGCAGCCAGCATGGCCATCAGCATCCCAGCGGAGGAATTTGTGGAAGCGCTCCCTCTTTGTTTCTGTTTTCATTTTTCTTTCTCTTCCTTTCTCCTAAAGCTTTTATTTAACAGTGCAAATGGATCGGTCTTGTTTGCTTTTTTTTTAAACTTGAATTTTTAAAATTTACACTTTTTAGTTTTAATTTCTTTGTTGTATATTTTGCTAGCTGTGAGCTTTTAAATAAAATTCAAAGGTCTGGAAAAGTTTGAAATGCAAATGGAAAATACCAAGAAGCCCCCCCCCCCTTTTTTTTTTCCTCCTGAGAGACAGCTTGCCTGATAAGTTGCTTCTCTGTGAATTGCCTGTAACAAATAGTGGCTTCTCCGTCCTTGTAAGGTGTTCGATAGAGCTAAATAAACGTAATAGCCAAATCCACTCTGTTGGTAGCAATCGGCAGTCCTATTTCATTTTACCTTTTCTTCTATTTTATTTTTCTTTTTTTAAACAGTAAACCTTAACAGATGCGTTCAGCAGACTGGTTTGCAGTGAATTTTCATTTCTTTCCTTCTCACCCCCTTGTTGTAAAAAGCCCAGCACTTGAATTGTTATTACTTTAAATGTTCTGTATTTGTATCTGTTTTTATTAGCCAATTAGTGGAATTTTATGCAGTTGTTAAAATGAGCATTGATGTACCCCCCTTTTTTTTTTAATAGCAAGGCACAGCCTTTGCCCAAAACTGTCATTTAACGTTTGTCATTCCAGTTTGAGTTAATGTGCTGAGCATTTTTTAAAAGAAGCTTTGTAATAAAACATTTTAAAAGAAAGTGTCATTGGATTCAGAGTGAAGTTTCTGGTCATCTAGAGTTGGTAAAGAACGAAGTCCACAGGCCAGAGCTCTCAGTCTGCATATGGGAGCACGGGGGTGCTGCTGGCATGGCCTTCTCCAGGGCCAGGCTAGCACCAGCTGTAAAGGAGCGCCTTCCCCCATATGCCAGGCATGTAGTCCTCAAAAGTACTTGTGTGCCGTGAGCCTGTTCATCCTTCTCCTCCGGGGGTAAATATAAAACAGGGTCAAAGGAAAGAAGGGAATCACCAGGATGCAGATGGGAGTGAATCTCTTCCTTCCTGAGCGCCTCAAGGTCCTCAGCACCTGATTGTGCTGCTCAATGCAAGTGTGCAGGTATCTTCTTTCTTCGCTGTTCATTGGGGCTCAAGCTAGGCTCCCCAAAGCCTGGAGTCCCAATGGCAAAGGAAGGTCTTCTTAACCTCGTCCATTTTCCCAGAGTCAAGAGTTTTCAGATCTTGAGTTATATTCCATAATTTTACCTTACTAGTGTATGTAAGTTGGTGCTTGATTTAGCAAAAACTATACATTTTTAAGTTTAAAATGTCCTCCACAGTGGTTTTCTATCCCTTGAGCTAGTTTGAGAACCATTGATATCACTGGTCTAACTTGACTCTCTTTTGCTGAAATTCTAGTTCGATTTCCCCTTTCTAACCTTCAATACAGCTGGGCAACAGCTGGCCACCATACTTGAAATAACCCTTCACATACTATACTTGAAGATTGCCATTAAATCACCCCTCAAATTTCTCTTCTACAGGCTAAGTAATCCCAATTCCTTGAACCTTTCATCATCAGTCCTTTAATCATTTCATTACTATCCTCTGGAACCTTTCCAATTCCTCTTCATTTAGTCCTAAACTTGAACCAGGAAAAAAAAAAAGTAGTATGTTCAGGGGACATACTGGTTATGAAGGTTTCATATTCAGCCCTGACCAGAGCTTCATTTAAAAATCCTTTCTCTCTGGGTTTTCTTAAACCAAACAGCTGTCCAAACCTGCCACCACGATCTTTTCAGGGGTTAACTAGAAAACCCAACAAAATGGTGTAGGCAGTGGCAGTGGAGTGTCACATCAACTCATGGATTGGCTCTTCTGGTTTTGTTTTGTTTTTTTGATACAGGAATTCACTTTGTCACCCAGGCTTTCCACAGTGATGTGATCACAGCTCAACCCAGCCGCCAACTCCTGGGCTCAGGTGAGCCTCCTGCCTCAGTCTCCTGAGTAGCTAGGATTACAGACACGTACCTACTTTTTGGTAGAGGCAGGGTCTCGCTTTGTTGCCCAGGCTGGGCCCAAGTGATACTCCTGCCTCAGCCTCCTAAAGCACTGGGATTACAGGCAGGAGCCACTGAGCCTGGTTGGCCCTTCTAAATCTTAGAAAGCAAGCAATTAATAATAAAAGTCTGTTTATCCAAGCAGCAGACATAGTAGGATACTTACGGAGACTCAAGGCTTTAGCCCACTTAATGCTGCTTTTTCTTGGTTCCTCCCCCTCTGCATTTGCATGACCCACAAAAATAAATGAACAGGCTGGGTGCGGTGGCTCACACTTATAATCCCAGTACTTTGGGAGGCTGAGGTGAGAGAACTGCTTGAGCCCACAGGTTCGAGAGCAGCCTGGGCAACTTGGTGCCCTCATCTCTACAATAAATAAATAAATTAGCCACATGTGGTGACGCGTGCCTGTAGTTCCAGCTACTTGGAAGGCTGAGGTGAAAGGATTACCTGAGCCTAGCAGGTTGAGGCTGCAGTGGCTGTGAGCGTGCCACTGCACTCCAGCCTGGGCAACAGAGTAAGACTCCAACTCAAAAAAAAAAAAAAAAAAAAAAGTTGAAAGAAATAGGTTGCTTGGACCCTCTGAGCCAGTTGTCTCTTCCACAAACTTTGTGCCCTCCTCATTCCATATATTTCTTCCAGAATAGTTTTTCCCAAATAACTTTGATGTCACTGCACAGTGCTCATTTCTGTCCCATTCTGCCCAAATCCTGCTTTCCGCAGGGAAGGAGAGCCAGGAGTCCCCCTGGAGATACCGACCAAAGTGGGTGTCTGTGGGGAGGGGCAAGCTCCTCCAACCACGTGTGTTTGATCTTGGAGTGAGTTGGTTTCCTTCCCTGCAGTGAACTCAGAGCCCAACTGTGTGCCAAGAAGCCGAGGATGGGTCAGCCTTCTGTCTGGGAGCTGAGCCTTCTCTGAGGTCACAGCTGGCATGCTGGTCTTTGTGAAGAGGTATTTTCCTCCTGGTTTTAGTTTATTTGGTTGCTAGGGCTGCTGGCAACTACCTGTTGTGCTGAAAGGGGCTTTTCAACCATTTCATGACTATAGCTGTCCTAAGTACATTATTTTTTTTTTCTATAGTTTGGTTTAAGCCTGCAATACAGAAACCTCTAATAAAGGCCCATGAATAATAACAAGACATCTGTGTGGCTTTCCTTTTCAAGAAGAAAAGTCATCAGAGAGTAATGAGTGGCTTTGACAGAAAAGAGAAACTTGAGCCACACGACACAGCAGTTGCTTAACAAATCACATTTACTCCTGCCATAATGCTATCATGCAGACATGGAAGACAGGAACGTTAGGAGCTGCCCTGTGAAAACTAACTTCTGAAGATACACACACAAGAAAATCTGGACTGCTTTTTCATAGGAACTGTAAAATATTGTAGTAAAATATGTTAATGCTAATAAAAGGATGTGATTCTAAATACCATTTGTACAGATGTATTGTGGAAGAAAAATAAAATCATTGGTTTTCTTGGTAAAAATTCAGCAAATATTCTGGAAGCTGCTGTTCTAAACTTTGCAACTCTCTGCTGAGAAAACTTCCATTATCCTACTCAGCAGCAGGGAGCAACTCAAGGAAAATGGGAGAGAAAAGAGGGTACCAAGAGCAGCTATTTATTTTTTTAATTTTAATTTTTGAGTCAGAATCTATCTCTGTCACTCAGGCTGGACTACAGTGGCACAATCATGGCTCACTGCAGCCTCGACCTCCTGGGATCAGCCTCCCTAGGAGCTGGAACTACAGGCGTGTACCACCACACCTGGCAAATTTTTTTTTTGTAGGGATGAAGTCTCACTATATTGACCAGGTTGGTCTCAAACTCCTGGGCTCGAACAATCCTGCCTCAGCCTTCCAAAGTGCTGGTATTATGGACATGAGCCACCATGCCCAGCCAAGAGCCACTATTCAAAATAAGTATTATTAGCTTTAATCAGCCTAAATTGAAACTGTATACCTATTAGGTAATAAAAAATAACTTACAGTAAAATTTGAGAACCCAAGTGAAAACTGACTGTTTACACACTTGCCTTTGTGGAAGAAACAATCCTAATGTTGTTAGCATTGTTCATCAAGTGTTGTGGGCCAAATAAACTGGCCTTAAAAAGGAACAATCAGCCAGGTGTGGTGGCTCAAGCCCGTAATCCCAGCACTTTGGGAGGCCAAGGCGAGAGGATTGCCTGAGCCCAGGAGTTCGAGACCAGCATGGGCAACTTGGTGAGACCTCTTCTCTCTGATATATCAAAAAATTAGCTGGGTGTGGTAGCACATGCCTATAGTTCCAGCTACTTGGAAGGCTGAGATGGATCACCTGAGCCCAGCGGGTTGACGCTGGGGTGTCTGGGAGAGTGTCACTGCACTCCAGCCTGGGTGACAGAGTAAGACTCTGACTCAAAAAAAAAAAAAAAAAAAAAAAAGGAATAATCAATGCATTCGATCAGTACATTATTACTGAGCACCTACCAGATTATTACTGAGCACCTACCAGTGGGCTGTGCTCAAATAACTTCATACCAGAAAAATGTTTTTTCTTATCTGTCAGATTGCTTACTATCTGCGTTTGTTGTAATGTGCAAGCATCCTTTCCCCTGAATGGTAATTTGGACTTTCAAAACAGGTTCTTATTTTAGGAAGTTGGTGGCCCAGTGAGGAAAGTCCAGGTTTTGAGTCCCACAGAACTGGACAAGGGCCAATCCTACCACTGCTGGGTGTCCACACTGCACCCCTCATGGGCTAAAGGATCACAGATCCTGAACAAGGGTATGGTGAGTAGCAAATGAGAAAGAGGCTTGGCAGATAGAATATGACCATATATTAATTAAAGAATATAAATTAATTTCCCCTTGAGTTGTTTTATAATATGTTAGAAAACATGCTTTTAAAATCCAGTATAAAAAAAATCTCACTTTTGTATTGCCTGTAGCCATAGAACACACGAGCCTATTCCTTCTGCTCAAAGAAGCAACTGTAATAGGGACTAACAAATCTGTTTTGGACTTGAGATCAAGGAAGTATTTATACAAAAGGGGCAGAGTCTGGATTTTATTGGGTCATCTACACGATGTGTTCATTAAATATTCGTCTTAAGCTTTAATAGCTAAATCAATTGAATTTTTGATCTCCAATAAAAAAATGGGAGAAATTGGTAGAGGATGTATTTTCCAGAAGGAATGAGAACACTGTTTACCAACAGTAGAGGTCACCACACATCATTCAGTTTCTCCTTGTAGTTTTAGTGGCATTGATAGACTAGTCATTTTCCCTTCTCCATCTTCTTGCCTCAGAAGTTGGACTCAATAGAATCACTGAATTGCCAGGTGGGACACCCTCCAAAAAATTGAATTATTTCCTGGAGATGCGCCCCTTTGTAGTACAGGCTTCCCCTCCTAGGTACAAGTGTTCTGGGAACCCATCAGCATCAGTGTACCAGCTAGCATTGTTGTGAGAGGCTGCGTTTGGCTTCAGTGAATTTTTTTTCGAGATTCTTTTAACGTGTTTGCCCATTTCATGATGAGTGCTTTATGAGTGCACCTGCCCACACCACACTGAATGTTCAGCAGTTTTTGACCTAGATGAAAAAAGTCCTCAAAGGGAAATGTTTTGCCAGTGTAGAAGAGGTAAAAGAGCCGAAGCAACAAACGGTTTCAAAATTGACGAGTTCAAAAACTGTTCTGAGCAGCGAAAAAAGTGTCTTGAAAGGAGGGGA